TACATACATTTTTATTGAAAAAAGTAAAAACAGAAGTTTTTGTGTAGACCTTCGACCATTTAAAAAAATTTCAAAAATAGTTTAAAGTATGTAGATTATATATATCTATGCAAAAGGAAAGTTATTTAATTTATAAAGTCGTGTTTTAAATTGAAAAGGATTAATTTTCGATGAATGATTAGAAGTTTTTGATTTATAAGCAACACTGTTCATGGTAATGTTTATACAAGTGACACATAACATTTGATATTTTTAATTTATTTAAATTTAGAACCATAATATTTTTTTATAAAAAATATGTTGGTTAAAAATTTAAATAAATTTAAAATAATTTATTACTTTTAATAAAAAATTCTAGTTCTAAGTATAAATAAATTTCAATCATCATACGTCATGTGTTTCAACATCACCGTGAACATTGTTCCTTGTGTATCTTTATAAAGGCCGTATGTAGCAGTATAAGCATGTAAAAAGTGCCCCCTCTTGGATTGGGTTCATATTTAGGGAATAATTTTGACCTATTATGAGACTTATTTTCACCAAGTTTCAACTCGAAAAAAAATTTTGTTTTTTGTTTTTTTGTTTTGTTTTTTTTTGTTTTGTTTTTTTTGTTTTTTTTTTTTTTGTTTTTTTTTTTTGTTTTTTTGTTTTTTTTGTTTTTTTTTTTTTTGTTTGAAAAATTCAAAAAAATTCAAAAATTTTTTTTCCCTCCAAAATGGTTAAACCGATTTTCATGAAAAAATTTTTTTTGTACAATACAATATGAACAGTTAATAAAAAAAAATTTTCGACCAAATTCTAACAAAGAAAGTCAGTAAAAAGTCAGTAAAAAAAATTTTTTTTTTTATTTTTTTTTAAAAAACATTTTTTTTTTATTGAAATTTTTTTTGCACCACCGCCATTTTTTTTCTATAAAATAATAGTCATTTCAAGAGTAACATATATTTTTTGCAAGATGATTGAAAGGGTACTTCATACTTTAAAAAATAAAATACCGATTTTTGGCCCCTAAATAGTACAGTTTTCTATATAAACGAGGGGCCAACATTTTTTAAAATTACATTAAAAATTAATTAATACTTAAATTAAATTTCTAAAAAAGTTAATAATATATGCCTGTTTATTGTAAATATTGATTTTTTAGTCAACTTTTCAAAAAAATTTACAAAAAAAAAAATTATTTTTGAAGTTTTTTCAACTTTGGCATATTTTTTAATAATTGTAGAAAAAATTTGAAATTTACATAGGTTTAAGTTTTATCTTTAACTTAAGACCAAAAGAGTTTTAAAATCTTAATCGGTTTGTGAGATCCCAATATATATATAGAAAATATCTACTGCTTTGATTCAAAAATAATATTTGTTTGAATAATTGTGTTTAATTCAAATATATTTTCTGTTTTGGTTTAAACAAAGAATATGTTTAAAAATGTTATGTTTGATCCAAACTTAAATGTTGATTAGAAATAATTTAAAATCAACCATAAATTTTGTTTGAATTGAATATATTATTTCTATAAATGAACCAAAAAATATGTTTGAATTAAACTGAAATTTGTTTGACTGTATAGCAAAGATATTTTAAGTTTGATTTAAACAAAATTTTTTTGAATCAAATAAATCGTTTTCTCAGTGATTGACATGTTTTTGGGCCGTGCGCGTGCAGCCGTACCGGTAATTCCCGACGGTAGTGTACGTCCATTTACTTTTTTAATTAACCTTGTACATACTAAAAAATCAATATTTACAATAAACAGGCATATATTATTAACTTTTTTAGAAGTTTAATTTAAGTATTAAATAATTTTTAATTTAATTTTAAAAAATGTTGGCCCCTCGTTTATATAGAAAACTGTACTATTTAGGGGCCAAAAATCGGTTTTTTATTTTTTAAAGTATGAAGTACCCTTTCAATCATCTTGCAAAAAATATATGTTACTCTTGAAATGACTATTATTTTATAGAAAAAAAATGGCGGTGGTGCAAAAAAAATTTCAATAAAAAAAAAATGTTTTTTAAAAAAAAATAAAAAAAAAATTTTTTTTTACTGACTTTTTACTGACTTTCTTTGTTAGAATTTGGTCGAAAATTTTCTTTTTATTAACTGTTCATATTGTATTGTACAAAAAAAATTTTTTCATGAAAATCGGTTCAACCATTTTGGAGGGAAAAAAATTTTTTGAATTTTTTTGAATTTTTCAAAAAAATTGTATAACTCAAAAACAAAATTTTTTTTCGAGTTGAAACTTGGTGAAAATAAGTCTCATAATAGGTCAAAATTATTCCCTAAATATGAACCCAATCCAAGAGGGGGCACTTTTTACATGCTTATACTGCTACGGCCTTATAAATTTATATTAAACTTCATAGAGGGTCAGTCCATTATATTTCATCTAAAGTCGTTGCGGCCTACTTTTTACAAAATCTCATAATTTGTAAAAATGATGTTATTAATATTCATAGAATTCACTTTTGAGAATTATTTTATAAAATTTTTTTAATTTAACTTAGAATTTTAATTTTTAAGTTGAGTTGCACAGAAAAAAGGTTAGATTGACAGTTATGAAAATTGAATAAAGAAGCATGGAAATAATTTAGATAATACAAATTTCTTGATTGATATTTGTTAAAAATGAGCTAATTTACTTGAACAAATAGATTATTATATAAACATACCCAAAATAATAGATAAAAATTGATTTTAAAACTTAACTATAAAATGTCAAAAGTCACTACATTTTATATAAATTTTTCTAAAAAGTTTAAAAATATTACAAAATTTATTACTACATAATGTTAAGTACTTTCAATGTACTTTCATATTATGTGCTAACTTTTTAATTTTATAATAAAGAAATATGGAAAATTTTACCTATAATATTGAGTGTTTCATGATTTTTAGTGATTTTAATCACTTATTTCTTCTCAGGTGCAAGACTAAAAAATCCAATTTTTGTCTTAATATTTAAGTTTGACCTTTTTTTCCATTCCATTAAATTTTGGTGATGGAGAACGAGCTACTTTGTAGTTTTATTCATGTTTAAAAAATCTGCTTCCAAAAGCGAGTTTGTTGGTTAAATTGCAGGTAATTTTATAAAACTGAAGTTGGCTATCACAATAGTCTTGCAAAAATCTACTTGCATTTTAACCAACAAATTCGTTTTTTCAGCAGAATTTTTAAACTAAATTTAAACTGAAAAGTAGCTCGTACTCCATCACCAAAATTTAATAGAATGAAAAAGATGGTCAAACTTAAATATTAAGACAAAAATTGGATTTTTTAGTCTTGCACCTGAGAAGAAATAAGGGGTCGTCCATATACCACGTGGACAGTTTAGGGAGGGGGGGGGTTCGCCAAAAATCCACGATTTTCCACGAGGGGGGAGGGGGGTCAATACAAATGTCCACGTGGACACAAAAGTTTAATTTTATATCTTTTTTTTCTTTTTATTCAACTTTCTTTATTATTAGATTATTATTAGATTGTGATCAGACAATATTTGTAATCCGAAATTTATTTAACTGTCAAAAACACGCCAAATTCTTTTTTAATTTATATTACAAAATCATTATCGTTAATGCACAAATATGAATATATGCAAATTTGACAATTAGGAATACAAAGCAACCTCTACAAACTCTTACAAATTCTAAAAAAAATAATTTCTATTATTGTTTATGTGAAGGCTTAAAGCTATTGGATTTTAGAAAAGTTAAGATTTCCGAAGAGATTAAGTATTTCTATTAATATAATAATTGAAGATATATTGCTGCCAATGTCCTCTCTATAATACTAAAAATGGTATTTACCTATTTAATAATATTTTAAGATAATTTAATCTTTATTGAATTTTAAAGAAGTTTGTTATAAAAAAATTTAAAGAATTTTTTAATTGTATTTCTTATTAAATATCTTTTTATTATTCACTATTTTAAAATAAAAAACCTGATTGTCCACGTGGACAATCAGGGGGGGGGAGAGGGGTTCGTCAAAAATCCACGATTGTCCACGAGGGGGGAGGGGGGTCAAAAAGTGTCTAAAAAGTGTCCACGTGGTATATGGACGACCCCTAAGTGATTAAAATCACTAAAAATCATAAAACACTCAATATTAAAGGTAAAATTTTCCATATTTCTTTATTATAAAATTAAAAAGTTAGCACATAATATGAAAGTACATTGAAAGTACTTTACATTATGTAGTAATAAATTTTGTAATATTTTTAAACTTTTTAGAAAAATTTATATAAAATGTAGTGACTTTTGACATTTTATAGTTAAGTTTTAAAATCAATTTTTATCTATTATTTTGGGTATGTTTATATAATAATCTATTTGTTCAAGTAAATTAGCTCATTTTTAACAAATATCAATCAAGAAATTTGTATTATCTAAATTATTTCCATGCTTCTTTATTCAATTTTCATAACTGCCAATCTAACCTTTTTTCTGTGCAACTCAACTTAAAAATTAAAATTCTAAGTTAAATTCAAAAAATTTTTTATAAAATAATTCTCAAAAATGAATTTTATGGATATTAAACATCATTTTTACGAATTATGAGATTTTTTAAAAAATAGGCCGCAACGACTTTAGATGAAATATAATGGACTGACCCTAGATTAAGTAACTTTTAAACTTAATTTTTTTAATTCATGCACATTAATGGGAATAGAAGTATTTTAAAAAATAAGTATTTTCCATTAGAAATTTCAGGTTGTCCGTTTCGGGTAGAATGACCCTGTTATTAATTTTATAATTTTTAATATTTAAAAAAACGAACTGTTAAAAAATAAATATTTAAAAAATAGTAGGATCAAAAAATCCGATTTAAATAAAAAAATCGCATTTTTTTGATTTTTTAAAAAAATCATAATTTTTATCAGCCCTGAAGTCTAATAAAAATAACCAAATAGTAGCAAATCATAAAAAAGTAATATACAGTAGTAATTAGTAGATGAGTGTGAAGCCTTCTAAAATAATAAATATTTGTATTTAAACCTTATGATATGAATTGTCGACAATCTTGACTTTTCATCTTCTTGAATTCTTTAGCAGAAATTGAACGGAACACTCATATAATTTGTTTCAATTCGCGAATTTAAGGAATGAACCTTTAATTTGTCTCAATTTATCCCTGTACATTCACTGCACTATACTATCGTCAATTTATGTGAATGATTACATTTAAAAGTCGTAATCAATTTCATTGAAATAAACTTGTGAAATAGTTTAAACTTAATTCACACACATACTATTAAAATAAAATACTTGTTTCTACAAAAAAAGTTAATTTGAATATGACGTTGCGATAATTACATTTCTATTAACTTTGCTCTAAATTTGAGTAATTTGAAAAATTGATATTTAACTACAAAAAACATTTAGTGAACAAATGTGTCCTTAACCTATATTCGATTAAAAAATTGTAAATGTCATCTGTGGAAAAATTCCATTGTAAGTAAATAAATGCGACTTAGTAAATAGACTTTGATAAAAAAATTACTCACGCATTAGTTTTCCGTTTAAGCAAATATATACACACTGTGTCAATCTGGTAGTTATTTGTTGAGGTTTAAAGAGATTGTCACCAAGTATTATGCGCATTTAATTTTAAAACTAAACTGATTATCCTATTACTTTTGTACACAGAGAATTTCAATTTCATCAGTTGTTCTGCAATCAAAGAAAAAACTATATTACAAAAATACTTTCAACTTATTTATTTAGCTATAAAGGAAAAAAACGAGTTATTTACGTATTATCGTACTTTATTAACATGGAAGAAGAAGGCAACTTAACCTTGACAGCCAACCTCTTTTTATGCATTTTTATATAAATAAATACTAACTTATAATTTTGACAGAAATCTATTATATATATCGTAAAAGCAATAAAAGAGTACCATTGTGTCAAACATGCGTTACGCACAGGAGGTTCTCGTTCGCACTCATCAAGTGTGACTAATATAATATGATCGAGTATACACAAATACAACCTCTTATCGCGCATACATATGCATATTATGAATATATATTTTATTATTTTTAAATAAAGCTGAAAGTTAATTTTCAACATGCGAGTGGGTGGTATTCAGTTTGCAATTTTTAACATACATATATATATGCTATGGAGAATTTTTGTCAAAAAATTTAAACTATACAAGTTATTAATTCCGATGTATAAACTCTTGTCATTGGTGCAAATCGTGCAAATTACACCTCTGTCGGTAAGAAAGAAATTTATTGAAAAATGTCGAAATCGCGTTCACACGGTTCACACCAGCTGTAAAGGTGTTTCTACAATAGCATGCAAATGTGAGACGCATGCATATCCCCTAATCGCCAAGTCGTCGAATGATCAAATAGTCGAATGCCAAGTAATCGAATGGACAAAAAGTCGAATGCTAAAAACATCGAATCGGCATTTAGTCGAATGCTAAAAACATAGAATTGTCAATACGTCGAATGCTCAAAACGTCGAATGTTTAAAACGTCGAATGTTAAAAACATCGAATCGTCAATACGACGAATGTTCAAAACGTCGAATTATCAATTCGTCGAATGTTAAAAACATCGAATTGTCAATACGTCGAATGTTCAAAACGTCGAATGATAAAAATGTCGAATGCTAAAAACAGCGAATCGTCATGTAGTCGAATGCTAAAAATATCGAATCTTCAGATAATCGAATGCTAAAAACATCGAATTCTCAATTCGTCGAATGTTCAAAACGTCGAATGTTTAAAACGTCGAATGCTAAAAACGTCGAATGTTCAAAACGTCGAATGCTCAAAACGTCGAATCGTCATTTAGTCGAATGGTAAAACCATCGAATAGTCCATTCGTCGAATGCTCAAATAGTCGAAACACCATCTGTTCGAATTATCAAGTAGTAGAATGGTAAAGTTGTCGAATGTTCAAAACGTCGAATCGTCATTTAGTCGAATGCTAAAAACATCGAATTTTCATTTAATCAAATGCTAAAAACATCGAATTCTCAATTCGTCGAATGTTCAAAACGTCGAATTATCAATTCATCGAATGTTAAAAACATCGAATCGTCAACATGTCGAATGTTTAAAACGTCGAATTATCAATTTGTCGAATGCTCAAAAAATCGAATTGTCAATACGTCGAATGCTTAAATCATCGAATTTTCCATTCGTCGAATGTTCAAAACGTCGAATGATCAAAACGTCGAATGCTAAAAACATCGAATTCTCAAATCGTCGAATGCTCAAATAGTCGAAACGCCATCTGTTCGAAATGTCAAGTAGTAGAATGGTAAAGTAGTCGAAACGCCATCTGTTCGAATTGCCAAGTAGTAGAATGGTAAAGTAGTCGAATGTTCAAAACGTCGAATGATAAAAACGTCGAATGCTCAGAACATCGAACTGTTAATTTGTCGAATGCTTAAAACGTCGAATGCTGAAAACATCGAATCGTCAAAAGTTCGAAAAAGTTCTTTGTCTTCAGTAGACATTTAACTTAAAACAAAGAACTTTTTCGAACTTTTGACGATTCGATGTTTTTAGCATTCGACATTTTTATCATTCGACGTTTTAAGCATTCGACAAATTAACAGTTCGATGTTCTGAGCATTCGACGTTTTTATCATTCGACGTTTTGAACATTCGACTACTTTACCATTCTACTACTTGGCAATTCGAACAGATGGCGTTTCGACTACTTTACCATTCGATTACTTTACCATTCTACTACTTGACATTTCGAACAGATGGCGTTTCGACTATTTGAGCATTCGACGATTTGAGAATTCGATGTTTTTAGCATTCGACGTTTTGATCATTCGACGTTTTGAACATTCGACGAATGGAAAATTCGATGATTTAAGCATTCGACGTATTGACAATTCGATTTTTTGAGCATTCGACAAATTGATAATTCGACGTTTTAAACATTCGACATGTTGACGATTCGATGTTTTTAACATTCGATGAATTGATAATTCGACGTTTTGAACATTCGACGAATTGAGAATTCGATGTTTTTAGCATTCGATTAAATGAAAATTCGATGTTTTTAGCATTCGACTAAATGACGATTCGACGTTTTGAACATTCGACAACTTTACCATTCTACTACTTGATAATTCGAACAGATGGTGTTTCGACTATTTGAGCATTCGACGAATGGACTATTCGATGGTTTTACCATTCGACTAAATGACGATTCGACGTTTTGAGCATTCGACGTTTTGAACATTCGACGTTTTTAGCATTCGACGTTTTAAACATTCGACGTTTTGAACATTCGACGAATTGAGAATTCGATGTTTTTAGCATTCGATTATCTGAAGATTCGATATTTTTAGCATTCGACTACATGACGATTCGCTGTTTTTAGCATTCGACATTTTTATCATTCGACGTTTTGAACATTCGACGTATTGACAATTCGATGTTTTTAACATTCGACGAATTGATAATTCGACGTTTTGAACATTCGTCGTATTGACGATTCGATGTTTTTAACATTCGACGTTTTAAACATTCGACGTTTTGAGCATTCGACGTATTGACAATTCTATGTTTTTAGCATTCGACTAAATGCCGATTCGATGTTTTTAGCATTCGACTTTTTGTCCATTCGATTACTTGGCATTCGACTATTTGATCATTCGACGACTTGGCGATTAGGGGATATGCATGCGTCTCGCAAATGTATTCAGAACATTCAGTCCAAGAAGATTAGATTCAGTCGTTCTCTGTGTACTCTTTGAATAAGAACCTGTCTACCTTTACCTCATATATAATTATCTCTATTAAAGTTTAATTATATTCTTTATAAATAAATTATTTTTCATCAATTAATTTAAAAAAACCGCTGCCAAGTTGTAAATTTTTTTTATAATTTTGGTGCTCATTTCACGAACACTTTGCTTCCTCATAGAGATAAAAATAATAGAAATATATAAATAAGGGTGGAGTCCCATGACAGCGTTTTGCGCGTTGCGTCGTAATGGGAGAGAAAAAGACGCAAATATACGTTTGCTGCATTCTCTCTCATTACAACGCAACGCAAAACGCTGCCATGGGACTGCGGCCTAACTTTTTATAAATATGGTAAAAGTGATTGAATTTTGAGTCAATCAATGTATTTTTAAATACTCTAAAAGATAGTTATAATAGTTTAATAGTTAATCAAAAATTTTCAAACAAAAAAGTTGAGAAAATGTCATTTCTCCAACACTTGCTCTGAAAAGAGTACTTTTCTTAGTAGAAAAGTGTGGCGAAAGTAGAACTTTTCTCAACTGCTCTGAAGAGCGTGGCGAAAGTAAAATTTGGCGTGGCGAAAGTAAATTCAGCGTGGCGAAAGTAATTTTTAGCGTGGCGAAAGTAAATTTGGCGTGGCGAAAGTAAATCATAAATTTATTCTTTTTTCTTGTTCTTTGACCGAGATTTATTTTGTATCTAACTTCTTCCCCACTCAAAACATTCGTCTTTTATTATATTAAACATAAGAACATTTTTAATTAAAATTATACGAAACTCACGAAGAAACCTTTCCTCGCAAGGCGTTGGAGAAAACGTAGTGCACAACTCGTGGTGAAAGAATGATTTTTCCCGAGTGATTGCTGCTCTCGCTACGCTCGAGCCCACTTTTGCCACTAGTTGTACAATGTACTATTTCCACAATTTTTGGTTTTTAAAATACCGATAATTTCGAATTACTGAATTAGATTCAAAAATAGATCAATCAAAGCGTTTTTTTAATATTCTACAAGTTGGTAACGATAATTTTAAAGTTACTTTTACATTTTTCAATAAAATTTTCAAAAAAGTCTTATTTTCCAAAATTTTTGATTTTTAAAAGTTTAATATCTCCAGTAAATATGGACGAAAAATGTTTAATTAGGGCTCAAAAGATGCGTCTAAAAAAACTCTACAAAATTAAGGCAAAACATTTATAGGGGTCCTAACATTTTTTAAAGTTATGGGCAAAAAACGTTTTTTTTGCAAAATTAAAAATCCAAAAAAAATTTAGTTAAACTTTATTAATCTATCACAAAGTACTCCCACTTTATGTCCGCAGGTGGGATCTACAATTTAAAAAAAATTCAACCCAAAAGCTCTTCATAATTTCGAGATATTTATGAAAATGTGATGTTTACACACAAACACACACATACGGAATGACTTTTTTTAAAAATGTCATTTTTGAACTCCTGAGGTCAAATAACATAAAGATATGTCAAAAAATCGAACTCGAAAAATTTTGGTAATATTACAATACTTCCTCTATGAGGAAGTAATATATAATTGAATTCTTTTAAGAATTTCATTAGAATTTTTTTAAATAATTGAATCTTATCGAAAAGTTTTTTAAACTTGAAATGAAAATAATTGAATTCATCTAAAGAATTTTCTTAGAATTTTTAAAATTTTAATTGAATTCTTTTAAAAAACTATAAAAATGTTTTAAAATAATTGAATTTTTTAAAAAATTTAATAAAATTTTACGTTAAGATTCAATTATAAATTATTTATTTATGAAAATAATTCATTTTCTACCAAGAATTTTTATTTTTTTTTATATTTGAATTTTCGGAAAGTCGGGTCCCCACACGGAGAGAAATTTGAACCGTAAAAGACAGTGTCTAATTCAGAAGGTTAAAAGAGGGGGAAAGTTCACGGTAAATCTGAGTGATTTCACCGAGTTTTTCCATTCACGAATCGCAAGTGGCAGTGACAGTAACCGTCAGAGAGCGCTACATCTTGTAGAAAATTATGATGAGTTTCCATTCATCGCCTAAGACTCTGATCACACCGTGATTTTACGTTCAACCTTCTCTCCGTGCATACTGTTAGATTCCAAACTGTTATGTTCTCAGTAGTGTTATGTTTTTGCATAACCTCCAAATTCAGAAGTGTTAGGTGACGTCACGTTACGTCACTAATTTTCAGGGCCGTATTCTTAAGACAAAGGAAAAGGGTGCATATACACTGAGAAAAATTGCGTTTAACCGAGTGGTAGAAATAGCTCGGTTAAAAAAAAGTATTTAAAAATAAATAAGATATGGTTAAAAGAAACTAAGTTATACTGATTATCACAACCGAGCTGAGATGGTTAAAACACATCTGTTAAAAATAATCCTCCAAAGGATTGTCTTAACCAATCTGAAATGTGCATAATGGAAACAAACTTTCGTGGTTGTTGTTACCCAGTAAGAAACGAAAAATTGAAAAGTATTAAAAAGATTCTATTCTTTTGAATGCCATTTCTGTCCAATACTTTTCTATCCAGTGAGAGCAATATAAATAGTAACGATATCAATCCTCTTGAATACCCAGTAAGAAAGCAAAGATTAAGAAGCATTAAAAAAATTCTATCCTTTTGAATACCATTTCTGCCCTATGCTTCTGAATTCCGCGACAGTAGTATAATAATATAATACTAATATTGTTGACATATAGAATGTTCAATTACTTTCAAATAACTGCACTCATGAATTTATTTGCTATTTTAAAAAGAAATAATTATTAAATTATCAGTTAAGAGGGTTAAAAGTGTTTAAAGGTCTTTGAATTTTTTGGTTATGATTTATTGTCTAACAGAATAACGGCCCTGACTCGTTTAAATTACGTTAAATTGGCAAACAATCAATTTTTCAGCAAGTTCTTCTTTGAACACAAACACTTTTTACAAAATCTGCCACTGTATGTATCTTATAAATTACAAAAATCCAGAAGATTGCTTGAATGCTTGCAGAAACGCGGTTCCAATGAAAAATTGAAAAGTGATATAATGACAGGCTGTAATAATTTCGGATGGGATTGGAAAGCATTCAGAAAAAAATTTTGTCTTTGTTAAAAATTACAAAAAGAATTGAATGGCATTCATTTTTAGACAAAACGTGGTCCTATCATGGTATAGAAAAGTATTGGACAGAAATGGCATTCAAAAGTATTGGATAATTTCTACTACACCATACAGAGTTTGAATTATTTCAATCCTTTTCAATTTTTCTTTTCTTACTGGGTACCTATCTGTTTTTTGAATATAAACAATTACTATGCGATTAATATTAACCGAGTTTCATGTAATTACGTTGAGTTGTGAGATTTTAACCGAGTAAACATATCTAGGCGACATATCGTCAGTCAGTCACTTCGTTTCGTCTTTTCCGGAGAGTCGTGTTGTTACAATTCTGGTTTCTACCGACGCGATACAAATTTTTATTGATTATGTTACAGCAGCCATCAAATATAGAATTCATCTACAATAGATACATAAAAATAAAAATGAAATGGAGAATATTAAACGCATTAAACCTTACATCCCCGATGACATATTACACGCGATGCACGTTAAAGAGGTTAAAAGTATTTTATTCTATTTGAAAGAGATTTGTTTGATTATAAAAAAGAATTTTAATTTACAGAAAATTTTGGTTATCTTTAAATTAGAACATAATTTTTTAATCAAATAGATTTCTTTTCAATAAAAGAAAATAATTTTTATCAAGGGAATATTTTATTGATCAAAAAATATTTTAATCGAGTTGGGTGGTTTAAAATTAATTAATCGGTTTCTTTATTATAACAGAGCTAATTGACTACAATATTCAAGTTTATATTATTACTGTAGCCTTTTTAGGTGGCTACAGTAACCGAGTAAGTTAACTAACGTTTACCGAGCATTAATCATAAACTGTTAGTTACAGTAACAGAGAAAGAAGCTACCGTAACCGAGTAGTCTTAACTAGTTTCTACCGAAATTTTTAATCGTATTCGATCGGTTACTGCAAACAATTCACATTGCAAGTGCTATATTAGCAGCATCGCTCGGTTGTTTTTAACTAAAACTTGGTTATATTTAACCTTTTATTTTTCTCAGTATACTTCTAGGCCAAACTTGAGGTGTATATATTTATACGTTCCTGAAAGATGCGCAGTAAGCATAATTTGAGCACATAACAGAGCTGAGTCTGGAGAAGTGGGAAATTTCTGAAAATGTAACAGTATGAGGACCCGACTGTATGTATAATCAAACAGATTGAAAATAATTGAATTTTAAAAAATTAGAATGAAAAAATTCTGAGAATTAGTTTTTTTTCAAAATAATTTAATATTATTTTTACAATCGTAATTTTCATTAATTTTCATTTTTATTAAATTTACATTTGAATATTATTCATTAAAATTTTTAAGAATTCAATTATTTCCAAAATTTTCAATTAAAATTCTTTAAAAGTTAATTTTCAAAAATTTTATTAAAATACTTGAAAAATGATTTTTTTTTAATTATTCAAAATCTTTTTAATTGTTTATTTCAAAAATTTAATTAGAAAAATAAAGTTATATTACTTTTCATACTATAAAAATAGAAATAAGTTGCATTTTATACTAAAAAAATGTGGTATTTTGTTGCAAAATTTGGAAAAAAAGTTGAAAATGTCGCAATTTCTTAATATAAGTCGATGAAAGTCGCATTATTAAAAAATAGTCGAAAAAGTCATAATATCCGAGGCCTGAATATGTAAAAAGTTTATATAATTATGTAATATTTGAATAAAAAAACCACAATTCCAAATATTTTCAAATATGAAAAAAAATTCTCCAACTTCATGCATTTTTCACCATTGAAAATGGTATAACCTCCCATATTAAGGGTGTTTACGAGATGCTCGCCCTAGGGCGCCCCGAGGCGACCAAAGGTTCTCAAAGTCACTTTTATTATCGTTTGTTTTCATATAAATAAAGAATAATAAAAGTGACTTTGAGAACCTTTGGTCGCCTTGGGGCGCCCTAGGGCGAGAATCTCGTAAACACCCTAAGGGGTCAGTCTGGGTCTTTTGCATGTATTTTGAAGAATTTTTTTTTCATAGTGTTTATTTAAACATTTTAAAATTTTCACATATTATTACACATATATTAAACTAAATAAAAAAAGTTCTTTTATTATTTTTTGTTGTTAATAACGAAGAAACGACGACTTAAAAAAAAATCTCGAAAATCTGGTTGACATGCATGATATCTCCAGTCAGAACAGAAGGAATCAAAAAATTCAAACGGATTATTAAAATATAGGTAAGTGGTTACAGCCTGAACTAAAATCATAATTTTTAACCTGTTTTTTAAAGAATTTTAGCTGCAAAAGAAGGTTTAAAAAGGAAAAAGTCCGCCATTTTGTTATTTTTCAATGAAAATTTTTTATTTTAGTTCCGCACTGTAAAAAAATCTGCTGTAAATTTACTATGTCCGACGTTGGAAAGTTTGGTCACTATGTCCGACGTGGTATTTTTACACGCCGACTGTAATCTACATAACCTGCAAATATTTTTTGAAATAATATTTTCAGTCGTAACTTTTTGTATTTATGAAATATAGCCCAAAACTTTTTGTTATATTATTATTTACTTATAAATTAGCATATACTTTCTATAAATGTACATTATATACACTTTTTTAGAGTTATTTATAAAAACTTGAAAATTTTTTGAAAATCTTAAAGGAATAAGAAAATTACATTCGCCATGTAATTGTACAGATCGTGCGACGTAATATTACGTCAAAGTGTAGAAATACACGCAATGTAAAAATACCACGTCGGACATAGTGATCAAATTTTCCTACGTCGGACGTAGTAAATTTACACAAAACTATTAAATTACATAGTCGTATAATGTAAAATTATTAAAAATAGTAAAACTACTTTTGGAACGAAATAAATTTACTACGTACAACCTATAATTTTGATGTGTGAAATTACAAGTTTCGTGTTATTTTACACCAGATTTTTTTACAGTGCGGCTGTAACCATTTTACCTATATTTTAATAATCCGTTTGAATTTTTTGATTCCGTCTGTTCTGACTGTAGATATCATGTTAACCAGATTTTCGAGATTTTTTTTTCAAGTCGCCATTTCTTCGCTATTAACAACACAAAATATAGAAAAAAATTTTTTTATTTAGTTTAATATATGTGTAATAATAAGTAAAAATTTTAAAATGTTTAAATAAATTTCACTATGAAAAAAAAATTCTTCAAAATACGTGCAAAAGATCCAGAATGCCCCCTTAAAAGAGAGAAAGAAAGACATATACTTCTATCCTTGTTACACCCACTGCTCAACGCAAAACGCAGCGTCGAACGCAAGCATGTAAACACAGCCTTAACCGTTAAGAACTCTGAGTGAGTGTAAATGGACCCTAATAGAAAGAGAAAGAACGTGCGCCGACAATCATCTTTCTCGGTGTGCATTCTACAATAGCAGAACACATTCTGAATACATGATAGTCGAGAGTGTTTTCTCAGTTTTCTCTCATGTATACCTATATATCCATACACCCAGGTAAATTAATGCTGCCTTTCCGGTGAGGTTCTGCGCATCAAAAATACATGATGTATATTATCTGATATATTATAAAAATTTGTCACCCCCTGAGTTGTAGGCAGGTCTTATGACATGTAAACTGAACTGTGTACACGTGCGTGTTATGGATTTAGTGGTAAGATGTGTATAGTACAATAGAAAAATGCAATGTTGAATCCACGATAGTCAACATGTACATTATAATAGTTTGAAAGCTAAGATAGAACGAGGAAAACCCTGAGCAAACTGCCTTTGACAAGTTGCACCCACTGTCCCGTTGACGGTTACGCGTCCGCCGGCTGACCAGCAAAGTTCTCAACCCCAAATACTCCTCTTTATATGTCAATAAAATGTCTGGAACATCACAAAGAATGCGGAAGTCTTCGCCGTGTTCCACATCAAAACAAGGTCCAATGCGTGCTACTTTACCTGTAAGTTCACTTCTCAGGCACAGCAGACAAAGCAATACGCTGAGAAAAAGCAATAACAGTAGTCCGACAGTATCACCAACCAATGTCCACACTTGGCGTTCCCGCATCTCACCAGAAATATCCTTATCTGGACAGCGGAGTCCTGGCTCTCTTTCCTACAAAGGTAAATTTACTCTTCTCTTAAAATTTACATTATTTCAATATTAACATATTAACAGATGTAATCTTCACTTTATTTACTACTGCTCTTCATTTCTTCTTCAACAACAATGTCTTTTTGCTTTTTATGTTTCAATTTTGACAAAACTGTACTTTGATTCTCATTCGCAATACATGTTTGTTTCATCAATAAGAAAAATGAGGAGATTCTTTAAGACAACTTTCGTACTATAACCTCAAAGAATATTCTTTTACCATTATCATAAACAAAAAATAATTCAATTTTCAAGTGTCAATAGATTTTTAGGTAAACATACTGGATAAAGTGTTCCGACATTGGTACTTTAATTTCATTTATTTGTGATGATGCTACTTCTTTGTTTGCGAAGTTTAAATGCCTTTTGGAAAGAATTTTTAAAAAAAATGCAATTTTACTATTTTTGATAATTGGATTTTCTATTGATTGGTGAATAAAATACTGTTTAGAATATAAATGTATAGAAATGTTTGAGAGTGTGTTGAAAAAATCCTCTTGGCGAACATAACCTTTACCGCTTGTCTATGTAGTTTGTAATTTGACACAATCATGATACTGAGAAAAGGGTAAAATTCACCCTCTGCTTTTTATTTCCAAAAATTCAACGTTCTTTATTATTCTTTAGCGGTATGTGTTAATTGAGATTTAAATAATTTCGATCAAAGGCATCACAGATAGTCCCCTTTCCCTTTTTGTCCCCCTTTTTTTTTTTATTATTTACGGAGTGTCTATTTGGCCCGTCAGCGGGCCAAATAAGTTACTTTTATTATTTGGCCCGTCACCCCAGTTCCATACATTTCAAGACGGGCCAAATAAAAAAAGTAGTTTATTTGGCCCGTCAGATAACAAATTAGCTGTAATTAATAACAATAGATTATTATTATTACTATTTTTACAAATAGATTAATTTAATCACCAGGTACTATTTTTTACATGAATTTGACATGCAGGTAATGTAATAAGAAAATTCTTCTTAAAAATTTTAATAAAATTCTTTGAAACGATTGAATTATTTTTAAAAAACAAATGAATTTTTCACAAAAATAGTATATTTCGTAACGAGTGCGAGCAGTTGTCAATTTTTGAATAAGCACTTTTTTTGGAACAAACTGTAGGCGAAGCGAAGCTTCGCCTACAGTTTGTTCCAAAAAAAGTGCTCGTTCAAAAATTGGCAACTGCTAGCACTAGTTACGAACGATATTTTTCATAACAAGGTGCAAAAAAGTGCCCTTTTTTGCACCGCGTTATGAAAAATAAATTATTTTAGCAAATAATCAAATTCTCTAAAACTCAATTAGTTTAAAAATCTACTATTTTAATACAATTTCACGAAAGAATTTAATATTATTTATAAACAAAATTTTTATAAAATTCTACGTGAGGTGAGAATTTAATTATTTTCATAAATGAATACATTTTTCGCAAGAGTTCAATTATTCTTATAAATAAAAAAATTATTTTCAGAAATTCAGTTATTTTAAAAAATTTAAATAAAATCCTTCTCAAATATTGAATTATTTTTATAAATATTAAAATTTTCACAGCAATTATAACTTTAAAAAAAATTTTATAAAGTCCTTTGGAAGAATTCATAAACAAAATTTTAAGAAATAATTAAATTAAAAAAAATCGCACAAATCCAAGACTTTCTCATTTTTTTATGAGAATGTAAAAATTGTATACTTCGGAAATTTTCATTATTGTAAAAATAATATTTTAAATTAAATTAATCTATTTGTAAAAATAGTAATAATAATAATCTATTGTTATTAATTACAGCTAATTTGTTATCTGACGGGCCAAATAAACTACTTTTTTTATTTGGCCCGTCTTGAAATGTATGGAACTGGGGTGACGGGCCAAATAATAAAAGTAACTTATTTGGCCCGCTGACGGGCCAAATAGACACTCCGTATTATTTATCACCTTTTTTGGTGATTTTTTCCATTTTTCATTCACCTTTTTCTAATAAAAATAAACAAGATTTTCTTCTTTTTTAAAAAAAAATCAATTATTGAGTCTAAATAAAATTTAGACTCAATGTTATAGAATCCAGTGCGTTTTATTTTTGACTTAGATTATTATCACCACAACAAAATATAAATCTTATAAATGAAAATATAAATATGTTTTTTTATGTTAATAATTTAAATAATATAACGTAAAGAATTTGGTAAATTATAAAGCGGTTCATTTGACAGAATGCAGACCTCTAGAAAAATAATTAATTAACATTCAAATAATTAAAATATTATTATTAATAGTTTTTCCTAGAAACACAAAAATGGCAATTTTTGAGAATAAAATTGACAATCAAAATATTTATTTTTATACAATTTACATGTGTAAACTTTTGTTTCATATCGCCTCTATAAATTTTTTTTAAAAATATTGACTATTTTTTAACAAATAAGCATATTTTCAACATTATTTTTTGAAGAAAATAGGAATAGTAGAATTTTCATCAGAGAAAAGTAAGGGATTTTTATTTAAAAATTATTTTATAATAAAAGAGTTGCTTTTAAATTTTTTATAAATAGATGAACTTTGGAAAATTTCAATTTGAAATTTTAGAAAATGTCAATTTTGAATGAATTTAATTAAAAATTTTAAAGAACTTAGATTTAAAAAAAAAATAATTCATTAATTTTTCTGAAATTAGTTAAATTTTTTAATACATACGAGACATTCCACACCAAACCAACATATCGTCAAAACTCAAAATTCACATTGTTGATTTGGCTCAAACATTTTTTGTTTTAGTAGATACTAGTTGAAAAAGAGGTACATGATTTTTTTCAAATTTTGTTATCCAGCCGTTTACAAGATATGAATTGTTCAAAATTTTACGTTTTGAAAAAAAAATTTTGAATACTCATAACTTTCACAAATGTGGATCAATTTAAAATTTTCTTTTATGAAAAGTGTGTGTTTTTTGATCAACTTTTCAAAACTTTTATAAAAAAAATTATTCAAACATTTTTTACTGCCTTTTTTTAAATTTTTAGATTAAAATTTATCCTTCAATTTTTTTCATAAAATTCCAAAAAAAAACTACTTTTCTTTACGCAAATTTTAAGCCTAGTTCCGTCGTGGGTAAATGATTTTTACTATTTCTTCAGAGTTTTTCAAAATTATCGAAATTCAGTATTTGCTCTTTCAGCCGCTGCATTGCGCAACACAGTGATTTTTCAGCATTCGATTTTGCTTAATATCAATTGAAATAGAATTCCTTCAATAGTCCAGTCATATAAAAAAATAAATTTTTTAAATAATTTTTTATTGTTTTTTTAAATTAAATTTTAATTGATATCATTATATTTTATGTTTTTGGAGTCGCTGAATCCAAATATTTGGTCAAAATTAAAAAATTCAAAATAGCGATCAAAAAATTTCCAAGTTTACGGATTAAAATTTTTTTCGTTCGCCATTTTAGAGCCGCCATTTTGAATTTTTAAATTTTGACTAAAGATTTGGATTTAGAGACCTCAAAACCCCCTTAATGAGCATGTTCAGCTATATTTATAAACTTTAAACATTTTTTGATCGCCATTTTGAATTTCTTAATTCTGATCAAAGATTCGAATTCAGCGACCCCAAAAACTTTTAAATATTCATTGATATTCATATTTCATTTATTGTAGTGATTTTCCTTTTAGATACCGCTATAGCGGTCATACACACTGGTGGCACGAATTATTTTTGCCTCTATAGACGTCAAACACAGTGAAGGGGTTAAACATTTTACAAAAGTGACTCTCATCTGAGTCAGAAATGTCTCTCATTATTAGAGATCCTTTTCTGTTTGGAATAAGGCAGTGGAATTTTTAAGCCGCTCGAGCTAGTTTGAGACATTAAAAGATATTAAAAAAGATATTGAATATTAAATATTAAGATATTAAAATTCCAAAAATATTTCCGTATATGAGAAAAAAAAATTTCCAACTTTATAACTTTAAAAAAACTTAAAACTTAAAAAACTTAAAACTTAAAACTTAAAAAAAAAACTTAAAACTTAAAAAAAAAAAAAAAAAAAAAAATATAAAAAAACAAATAAAACATATAAATATAAAAATAAAACATATAAAAAACATAAAAAAAAACATATAAAAACAAACATATAAAACATATAAAAAAATAATAAAAAATAAAACATAAAAACATACATATAAAACATATTTATACATATAAAACATATAAATATTTTTAAAAACTTAAAACTTAAAACTTAAACTTAAAACTTAAAACTTTAAACTTTAAACTTTTTAACTTTTAAAAACTCTTTTAACTTTATAACTTTTTTTTGGTTTTTATATAAACCAATCGGCTTTTTAATATTGCATGTTAAAAAAAATTGACTGTCTCACAACTGGAGGTGTCTCACAACTGGAGACTCTCCCCATTAATTAAATTAATTTTTTTGATAGAATTTAATTGAATTTTTGTTGAAATTATTTGAAATTTTTATTTTCTAATATATTTTTAATTAAAGAATTTCCGAATAATCAAAATTATAAAGGTTTGAATTTGAAATTTTTAAAAATCTTAATTTCTGTGGAAAAATAATAATGATTTAATATTTATTTGAAAATGAAGTTATTGATGTTTTCGAATAATATTACAATTAAAGAAATTCGTAAATAAATGTTATTTTCTATCAAAGAATCCAAAACTGTAAGGAATTTGAGTTTTAAAACATTGTTAATATAAGTTTTAACAAATTTTAATTTATTGTTTGGTATATTTTTTGTCCCCTTTTGTTCCCTTTTTTAGGAAAAAATTCCCCTTTTCACCTTTTTTGAGGATAAAAGGTACTGTGAGATACTTGCACTGGGTTCGCAAAATTTCAGTACACTTGGACTGAATGCTTTTAGATACTTGCTTCACTTCAAGTTCAACAATTTCTATAAACATTGATGTAATAGCTATCAAACTAGGCAATTTATATTCTTTGAAAAATTTAGAGCAAGAAAAGTTATATTCATAAATTTTAAAGAAAATACTGAATATTTGTGAATGATTTTTTTAACAAAATTTTAAATTTTGTTTAATTGTACAAAACTAAAATCAACTTTTAATAATTACTTTAGATGTAATAAAGACAAAAATCACTATCTGTGAAAGAGAAATTGAAGGGCTACATAAAATAAGGGGACGAACGCATGGTTGAAAGGGATAATATCAGTCAGGTAGCAGCGAGCGGCTCAAGGCTTGTCACTGCTACCCGACTGGTACTATCCCTTCCAAGCCTCGCGTTCGTCCCCTTATTTTATGTAGCCCTTCAATTAGAAATATTTTAAATGATCCTGATTTACGAAAATAGTTGGAATTTTGAAGTCGCCTAATTTTAAAAATATAAATCTTAAACTAATGCCTAGTAATCATCACCCTCTTAAAAATTAAATTTTAAAGTTAAATATTTGTTCAGTTTAAAACCAATATAAACATCATAAAATATTGTACTTACAATTAGTGTTAACTTTATTATTGTCACGATCACTCTTTTCATTAAAGCAATGTTTGTTACAATAACTAAGGGTAAGAATCCTCATCATCCTTTAAATTCAAAAAATTTTAATGTCTCTAAAGTATTAAACATTGTAATGTACTTGTCCTAAATAAACCGAGAGACAACCAAATAAACAAACATAATATTAAACTTCGTAAAAAAAACTCACCCGCATCATTATTCAATTATAATATTTGCAGCCTTCGAATATAAAAGAAATTTATTATAATATAGCCGAGATTACTTGATTCGTTTTTTATGTGTACAAACGTTGGCGTCGACACTCAGCATCGAAAACTATTTTTTATTTTTTTTAGTGATAATATTTTAACTAATTTCACTTTTTACATTCACCTAAGACAGGGGCGGATCCAGCATTTACATAAGAGGGTTGTCAGTTTATATAAATATTTCGGAATAGGGGGTGGTCAGCTAATATATATAAATGTAAAACAACGTTAAATTAACTTGTAAGGGGGTGGTCATGACCTGCAAACCACCCCCCTAAATCCGCGTCTGACCTAAGAATGAAAAAACTTTTTAAGAGTACTTTTTTAATCTTAAACGTTGGAAAAAATTGAGTCATTTTTTTCGGTTTTAAGAAAAAAATAATTTTTGATGCTCAGCGCCGACGCCAACTTCAGACTTCACCTGTGTTGAAAGTAATCATGGACAGTAATATTTGCTGTCGTTTATTTTCTGAGTGTAGTAGGGGAAACTGCCCTACAATGGATTCATACCTACCGTGAAGAATTGTAAATAAAAATTACTTTTCTTTTGGTATGTTTTATATTTATGAAAATTTGTAACAATGTACATTGTCTATGAAATGGGTTTCTCTGCTTACAAAAATAAATATTTCAAAATAATAATGAAGTTGTAATGTTTTCAGCAAAATCAAAAACCTTAAGTGGTCGCTGCAGCAATAGCTTGAGTGGGAACCAAAATATACGTCGGACAGCGTCTTTAGACACGATATATTTGAAGGGTCAATGGCCACGAGATTCGTATTATATTCATTCTAATCTTCTTGTGGATAAAGCTACACAGGTAAGAACTTTGTTAACAAAATTATATATTTCAATTCTTGGGAATTGGTAGATCTCTGATTTTTTGGAACCGTTGAGTGTAAAAAGGGATAGAAAAAGTTAAGAAAATGTGTAAAGTTAGATAGTATAAGACCTCTAGTAACTCTAAAGTCGCATTTTTAATGGTACACTATGTTTTTAAGAAATTTGTTGATTATTATTATTTATTCAAATGAGAAAATTAAATTTTTTATTAAAATAAAATTGAGTTTTCAATAATTTTTTTACTAATAATTAATATTTTCAGTTGAAAAATTTGGTTATATTTATATTATAATATATAATTTTTAGACTGAAGAGTGGAACAATGAATCACGAAAAGCGTATGTCCGCCATTCCAGTGAACAAAGTACTACAACAGATGAAAAATTGGAAAAATACTTTAGGCATCGGTTAGTTAAAAAGCTTATTGGAAAATTGTATTCAATACTTTTATGAACTGTAAATTAATGAATTAATATTAATGCCTTGTTATAATTTAGATTACAACGGTCAAATAAAGAAGGAACAAGTAGTAGGGAAAGAACGGCAGCTTTTGGTCTTATAATGCCCGGTGGGTCTTCGGTTGCACTTCCTGGAGATCACACTGTTATTTTACCCAGCATCGCTTCTCAGACGCCGTTACGTAAGTAGATTTATTTATCCCTCCTCTACACATATTCACTTCTTTGAATTTTGACAAAATTAAACTATTGATAATGGAATTTATATTCCATATTTAAAATTTTTTTGTGCAAGTTTGGATTTAAAAATGTCCATTTATGTATGTTTACTTATATTGAATGTTCACAGATAATCAGTTTAATTTAAGTACGAGACCAAATCCTTTAAGCGTGCCGAAAGCGATACGACCTCCCATGCGTTCTTCTATTGAAGGTCTCAATCAGGAAATCGAAGGACTTGTACTTAAGTCATCAATTTGTTCTAATGACTCTGATCACACTGTTGAAGATAGGGTAAGTGAAGCAATATGTTTTTATTTAAGAATGGTCAATAGTCACTGAAATTTCTTTATTATGTAATTTATATACAGACGCTTCTTACGAAAGCAACCAAGATATCTTAAAAATATCAGTATTATTTTAAGTAATAATGTAATACAATTTATTAACACACTTTTCTTTAATCATTAATATTTGTAATTTTCAGTATGCAAAATATCGAGAGCAAATCACTCCAGAAGGACATCGAGCACCCTTAGCGGATTTATTAAGATCCACTACACGCAGTGTAAATACACAAACTCCAGCCGTCGATATACCTTCAAGTTCATATTCTTCTGGTAAGTGATGATCTCTAAAAATTTAAATGTAAGCTTAATCTTTCAAATCTAATGTAGTTTTAAATTATCAAAGGTACTTTCATTAATGTTTTCTATTATTATGATTATTACTTTTTATTTCCAAACCAAAATTTCTTCTTACTTGTATATGTAAAGAAATTTCAATTTTTACAGGTGGCAGTCGTGGTTCAACTCCAGAACAAGAAAAAGAGAGTCGTCTCGGTACATCACCTCATATTAATAGGTTTTTAGCCAGGGAACCACCAGATGGTTGTGAGAAAGTGAATCTAAAATTCGTCGAAGACGCCAGGTATTTACTTTTTATTATATTTCTTAATGTTTTGTTAGTCTAAGGTTCACGTTATTAATTTCTTTTGCCTTATGAGATGAAAATATCCAAACGGATTTTATCCGCAATTTTACAGTTGAAAATTTGAAACAATTTGCATATCTGCATCCCTAATACTGCCCAAAGAAGAAGAAAAATGTCAAATTATCAGAAACCTTAAATTGTCTTCGAATTTTTTTAACTTCAAAATTTTTAAATCATCATAAAAAAGAACAGTTGCAATTAGAGACTAGAACTTTATGCTTGAGCATGAAAGCATAAATTTTAGAAATTATCAGTTCCATGTGAACTGGTCGACGAATTTTTTATGTTAGCTATTTTCTTGAAACTGTTTTCCCTTGTAAACTATACGGGTATAAGGGTAAGAAATAATAAAGTGAAGACGATTTTAAATATTTCAAAACATTTTTGAACATATATTCAAATTTTTAAATTTATGTATTAATTTCTTTAAATTGAGATAACTGGTTGCTTTTAATATTTTTCAAAGTTTTTTCTTTTAAATTTCTCAGTATAATCAGTACTTTTTAAATAAATTTTTTTGAAAAAAAAATTTTCATTAATTATTTAATTTTTTTTTAGTTTTTGAAAAACACCCTCCCCCCTTTGATTTTTCTCTTTTTTCTAATGATAGCCAAAAGTATTAAGAATATTTTCGTACAAGTTTCATAGTGGGACCGCGATAACTTTTAGAGAAATCTTCTTCTTAATTGACTTTTGGCACTACCGACTGTCAGAACACTAAAGATGGGAAGAAGAAGAAATAGGTAATGCTGTAATGCAATTATTGACTGAAGGTAGACGGTATAGTTAAATGTTGCAAGTTTAAACAAGATTTTTCGTCATATGGGTCCTGCATAACATGTGTCTTCGAATATAGAGAGGAGACTCGTGAACTTCTGACAATAAGATGTCGGTTGGAGTGGAGCGCATACAACCCAAAATTACTCTGAAAGCCGCGAATTGAACTCTATCTAATTTCGTCAACTACAGTATCTTACTTGCAGACAAGAATAACTGACATCCCCATTCGAGGTGGGCCCTAAATAATCTTCTATACGCCATTAACATAGCTTCAGAATTGGCACCCCAGGAGATTTTAACGACAACTCTAACATTATATTTATGGCCAACGATGCCCTGAGAGATATTTCATGAATATGTTTGGACCAGTTAGTCTTTGATCAAGAAAAATGCCAAGGTCTTTCCGAATTTTTCTTTACTTCTTGAGAAGACAGCAAGTTGAAATTTCCCTGGAAAAATGGATAAGCCTACGTCACTAAGCCATGGTACAAGAACTTCTACGAGTTTTTTGAGTACCTTGAGAGATTCAGGAATGTTGTTTGTCCTTACATAGATTAAAAGGCCATCTGCGAACATTAAACATTTAATATTATGCGGAATTAGTAAGAATATTTTACTTAAAGCTAAATTGAAAAGAAGGGGAGATAGAACTCCTCCTTGAGGTACACTAACAAAGGAGGCGTGAAAGTCTTTGCAACCTGAAGAAAAAAACAAATTTTTTGGTTGTATTACAAAGGAAACAATGTTATTGATTTTATCTGGTATACGTAGTTCAATCAATCTATTTTATATATAGCAGTTGGGAGAATATTGTTGAAGGCTCCCTTTAAGTCCAAAGCTAAAGCAAGAGTGTGCTTGATGTCAGTTGCGAACGTAGACACACAATCAATTGTGGATCGACCCTTGCGAAAGCCATATTGAAGAATAGGAACACTATTCACTGATTCAATGTAATATTCAAGACGAGAAAACCAAGCTTTCCTGTCCGGGGCACAAATAAATTCTACTCTGATTTTTGTTTATTTCCCTCCATATTGAGTCAATGTGTTCATTTCCCAGGATGTTGTGTGCTGGGATTCATAAGAATTTATAGAAACAGGGGGGGGGGTAATGTAAGAAATGTGATAAAGGGTATCGAGGATTTTGTAGATCAAGAGAGGGTTGTCCTTATATAATAGGCAATTTCTAAGTCTTTTCAAGGAGAAGATAGATGGTAACAATCATTGAGTGGGTTTTGCCTTTTTCTATTGCATATTTAATAGCCGAGTAAATAGAGTACTTGAAGATTGAATTCTGTCTAAAATTTTAAAGGTGGTTATTTAAGAGGTGCCAAGGAGCGGTCTGCCTCAATCAAGGATTGCCCGGGTGATATTTCTGTAAATAGTTAATGAGAGAAGGAGAGAAGCTCCCCAAGTATTATGTGAGACAATCTTAAGAACGGCTATGGCTTTTTTTATTTTATCAGCGATCATTATAATGTCCGAGGACCAGAAGAGTTTGCGATCCAAAAAAATGCCTAAATGTTTCGTGGTGGTTTCACACCCTATTTGGATCTGTATATCGTCGAAAGTTGCTTGTGATTTAGACAATATATAAGTTGTCTTTTGGGGGTAATGTTCATACCCAAAGTTTTTAGCCAAATGGATAGACTCTCTAAGGCAACAGACAAATAGTGGTCCAGGTTGAGTGAGGAATTGAATTCCGATTAGAGAAAAAGGTCATCAGCGTACATAATCGCTTGCTTTTATGTTATGGGGAAGATACTGTTCTAGTTCTCTGAGGTAAAGGTTAAAAAGGAGAGGAGATTAACCAACAAGATTTGAAATTTTAATTTTTTTAGATAATGAACTGCCCAAAATTATAAAATTCATTATTTATAATTCACTTTAATTAATAATGAGACTACTAAGTCTAAAAAAGTATTCTGATATAAATAATTCAGTATATATTTTTTCCATTTTGAAATTAACTTTGGTTATGTGTCAAATTGCATTTGTTTAAATTTCTCGAAACAGTAAAAAATGGACTTATCCACTTTTGTCCGCTTACTCCTCATTTGCGAACATAACAATAAAAAATATTATTATAGTAAATAAAGAAATGTTGATAAACTAAATACAGAAATTATTTATAAATTAATGCTTACGAAAATGGCATTAAAGTCCCTATAGTTTTATTTATTGCATTTTCTATGACAATTCTGCTTAAATCTTTTCTTGAAAAAGTTTTATTTTTCGAGTACTCATAAAGTATAAATCTGCCAACTAAAGTACTGCACAATAATTGGAAAAGTGGCATATTTTTGCAACTAAAAAAAATATTTTAGTTAATAATTAACTTTAATAATGTCTTTAAAAACGTCTCATAAAATTTGTAAAATATTAATTTCAAATTAAAAAGGAAAAAAAGTATTTTGCAATTTTTCTATATTTTCGTTACAACTGAGATTTTCAATGTTGATATTGTCAATGTCAAAAGTCTCATCATTTGTCACAGTAAAATTGAATAAGTTGTTGTTTTCTTCTTCATTATTATTTGCAATATCAACATTGCCATTTAAGTTTGAAAATAAATTCAATTTATATTTCAACTTGAAATCGGAAATTATTTCTATTCCTAATTCTTTAGGAATAATTTCTGAAATTTCGTCCTCAGTTAAGGAAAAAAATCTCGTCTTGTCTATCTTGTGAACTAAACAGAAAATTTTACTACTAAGTGAGTGTTACAATTTAATTTAAAAATCACGAAATACAATTTAAAAGGAAAACAATTTGAAATATACTTTAAATTAATTTTACTTACATCTGAATAAATTTTGTAATGATGAGAGATTCCAATCTCTAAGCAAGTTGGAGACATAATCATCCATGATGATTGAACTTTCTTCTTTTTCAAAAAATATTATTTTCTCTTTATTTTATATACTTCTAACTATTATTATATCAATACGCACAACTTCTCATGAACCACTCTCGGATCACTGTCACGGGATTAACTTTTGCTCGGAAATTTAATGTGAGTTCATCCTTTACTTTCATGATGACACTGTGTTTCACGGTTTAAAGTTCTCTCCGTGCACATGGTTTAAGGTCGGAACCATCAGCGTTAAATGAAACAAATCTTTTTGCAGTCATGTGGCTGATAAAATTTATCAAACAAGGATGGAGTTCAATGGTCCTCCTAAGAGTAGACATTCCTCTAGATGGGGAAATAGTCTCATAGAACTCCTTGAAAGCTAAGGTCTTCTGTTTCCTGAGGACCCTCTTAATCTCGGCATCCCTGCGCCTAAATTCTATTCTGTTGATACGAACTTCTTCGTACAAGTACCAAGCCCTTTGCGCTGACAATCCCTGTGGTTTAATCATTTTTAAAGGCAAAACATCCTTTTCATCAAGTACTGTTTTCTTGTGTACTTCGATTTTATTGCAGTTTGCAAATTTTTTCGCTTTGATGCTCATATCTTCGCAAAAAATAAAATGATAATAGTTGGTTAAGCCGGGAACTTTTTTAAAAAAATGGGCCAAATAGGAATCCCATTCTGTCCACTCGACCTGGGGGATGTTTGTCGATGGATCTTTACTGGGAATCGCAACATTAAAATTATTTGGCGAAGAGGATTGTATGACTTCTAATAAGTCTTGATAACAATCCACAACGGATTTGGAAAAATTGGATTTAATAATTCCAAAACTGCCATCCGGCGAAAATTCAGTGTGTCCCGTTAAGAGAAAATTAAGTGAAATGGATTTATTGAGCTTTTTTACAACCCTCCAAAGGAGATAAGGCAAAATATCATTATTTTTGTTTTGTCCTACACAGTTATCAGCAAAGTGAACGAGATTCTTAGTTTTCTTAATACTTAAAATGTAATGCAACATACTGATAACTGCGTTGTCACCCTTTCCTGTTTGATCTTCTTCGTCGATGGTGATATTCATTTGGACTCTGTTTCCTTAATTATTTATCCCGAACAAACTGCATTTTCAATTTGATTTAAAGTGCGATGCACCAACTAGCTGTGGGCTGCTGGGATAACTAATATTTTGTGCATAATCAAATGACAGGACAAGGAGCTTAGATTCGGATTCCGATCTGGCTTTTTGGCGGTAAAATTATAAAAGTCTCTTTGCCCTTTCGCTTCTTCCAAATGATCGGTCGCAATTTTTATAATTTGTCCCTGCTCTTCAACACTTAATTTTTGCATATTTGTTAACTGCAAATGATTTTGGCGACAAATATCACAAAGATCTGTTGCTGGTTTCATCGTAATGATGTGGGGACAATATGTTTGCCAAATATCGAAAAATGTCGAATGCGCAACTTCTCTAATATTCTCATCGTCTTTAGCTGCATCTAAAAATTTTTGATACATTGTTGTCTTGGTAGCACATGATGGCAATTTTACGACTTTGTCGTACACTGATAACTGTTCACTATTCACGTCATTTTATTCATATTCTAACTGTTCGGTTACTTGACAATTGGGAAATATTCATGTGTCAGGACGCTAAACACTAGAAATTCAAATTCATGATTTTTAGAGAATACGCTTAGGTTCTGTTGTATCTAAAATTTTGTAATTATTTTTGTCAAATTAAAAATGAAAACATTTTAATATTTCTAGGAGACCTTTAGTGGACCTCAGCAAACTTGATTACTACTCGAAACCGTGTGTGGCGTTCCAATTAAAGCCAAGTTTAGGTTCTGCATTTTTGCCACTACAGCAAGCAGCAACTTCCACAGTTATATCAAGTGTATCACCAACTTCATTGGCGACTCCAACAACGCCTCCTCCGAGTTCATAGTTCTTAGTTATATTTATTCTTTACAATATGACGACATGCTTAAATTTTATTTGTAATCCAATACAAAGGTACATGTTTGCTATTGACAAGAACTTTTAACGTTTCTCATGCTCACATTTACTGATAAATCTACATGTCTTAAAATAAAATATTTTCTCAGGAGATTATATAGATAAACTTTTTGAAAAAGTTTTTAAACTATTTTTAAATTGAAAAAAAACAAATGTTAACTTATTCTTTTATTTTAAACTTAAAATATTCCGGAATTTTAATATTGCGGAATTTAAAATCTAAATTTAACCATTAAATATTATAAATCGTAACAAAATTGCATTTAATCCAAGATATCAATCAATTTTTTACAAAAAAATAAAGCAAAAAAAAACTTGATTTTTGCTGCAGTGAAAGTAGAACTTTATAGTTCTTACAAATGTACATGAAATATTTGTTGGAAAGTAAAATTAATAATAAGAAAACAAATTAAAAACTGTGAGCAAAATTGTATGTGCGTTGTGCAATTATTTTGTTACAGTCCTTAATAGAATGTTGTAAATTAGAATTTTTTTACTGGTCTATGTTGGTTTTTTCAACCAATGAGATGGAACGCCGTAAGTTTATTTTATAATAACGTTTTTTGTAATAGTGTTTTTTATTTTACAAAGCTGTTTTTACATTTCTAATTATTTTTAGTTCTTAGTGTTTTATTTCTTTTATATAATGAAAGTGTTTAAAAAATTTAAATAATAAATGTGACACTCTTCGTTGAAAGGTACCTTAGAAGCGTATATTTTAAGGCTTATGATTTATTTTTATCTTCATTAAGTTTTTGTTTAATTGTTTTTTGTTCAGTTTTTATTAATTATTTTAAATGTAATGAAAACTTAAACAAAAATTCTTTCTGCATTTTCATTCTAAAAATTATAAACAAATTTTGTTTCTTATAAGGTATCTTCGTAGTGAGTTACAAATATTATTTTGTAAAATATTAGTTTTAGTTTCTTCTAATAAAATTAAATTTTAGTGAATATATTTTATTATCAAGACAATAGCGTTTTTTAGTAGATGCAAAATGTAAGTGTTCTTATACACTATCTTAAGGAATTGTCAGGCTTTACTGTCTGTTTGTCAGAAAACAAAATTTAATGTGAAAAGTATAGAAACAAAAATTGTTTTATGCCGATAAATTTTCAAAAAGATGTTTAAACGAATAGACTATATTAATTTTTCTGTTAGACATTTAATTTTATCGCTCTTCTAATTTGTAAATTTTTTTAAAAGAGAATTAAGAATTACGAAAAGCCTTAAAAATTATATTTTTCTTCAATTGACTAACAGATGAATTAACATAAACTATTTTTTTTAAATAGTCGATATTTTTTTTAAGATTTCAGAAAATAATAGGAATATAATTTGAGTTTTTATGTTGTTCATGTTGAAAGATGTTTTCTTATCATTAATAGAGGTGGTTAAAAAATTGTATATTTTTTGTCGATAGATGATAATATGTACCTTTGTACACGCATATACATGATTATACATACATGTATATAAAAAAATCTCTTTAGTGTATTTAGAATCACTTAATTAAGTAAAAAATGGCAATGTTCGAATATTATACAGTTGCATCAAAAAAGTGCGTTACACTTTACATTTAGATATTAAGCAAATGACTCCCAAATTATAAGCTTTATTCGCTTCAGAAATTACGTAATTACATTACGTGTTTATTAAATTATTCAGAATTAAAAGTATTGAACAATATTATCCACATACACACATTTTCATCAAATGTGTGTCGACTGGTAACAATATGGAGTCCATAATATACTTTTAGTAGCATTTAAGTATAACATATTTTTTTATAAGAAATGTATTTTCCAATTTATGACAATGACTGTTGATTAACGTTATCAATTTCATATCGTTCAATTAAGTATTATTTTTTTAAAAAAAATCATTTTTGTTTTCTTATTCTATAAAACAAAAATAATTTAGTTCTTTTATACTGAAAAAAATGTATTCTTAATATCTTAAAATCTTAAAAAATTTTAATTTTACAAAATTTATTTTTATTTTTAAAAAAAAGGAGCAGAGAGAAGTAGGATGAAAACGTCGTTATAACATTTTTACAGCTATAGAGAAAATAATATGAACTAAAAATATTAGATCTTTCTAAGGATGGGAAATCAATGGCCTATCAGTTTTTTTTTTATTAAAATAGATATATTTTGCCGACGTTTCGGTCAAGATCTTAGCCCTCATCAAATATACAAAAGTATTTTTTACATATGAATATATAAAACTGTTGCGTAATTACAGTAGAAAGATACTGAATGCTGAAAATTCAAGTTTTAGCAGTTTGGTAAAAGTCTACTGTAATTATATTAAATCATCAATTATAAGCTTACCTTAGGAATATGACAGTTTCATAGATTACATTTTCAAAGAAATGTAAGGTAATTTTATAATTTGATGGGTCTTTACAAATAGTATTCTATTTTTTTGTTCGAAAACAAAAACAGTCACTACATTGGTTTTGTTTTCGAACATTTAAATAAACTATTATGGAGGTAATAGCTCAATACCACTCTGAGCTGTAACCACCATTATTCAAAGGATACATAAAATTAATGTGAATAATCAATTAACTATTTCATATAATTAATTAAATAATTAATAGAGGATCATTCGTTTCAGTTTCAAAACCTGAACCTGAAAGTAGTTCTAGGTTTAACTCCCGAATGTGAGACAGGGATTAATTATTTTCAGTTCTGAATTGAACAGAAATTGATAGTGGTTGATTTTTAGTTTTGTATTTTCAAACTTGTAATGAAAACCTTTTTGTTCTCTCTTATTTCTTATGTAATGAAATAAGCGTTAAAGTTATTGTTTTATCATTCGATGTAATTTTATAGTCACAAGTAAAATTTAAATACTAATATTTAATTATGATTTTTATTTCTCTTTCGAAATCGAAATTTCCATTTACTATTTATTCTCGTTTCAAATTTACTCCGAAACCTATAGACTAAATTTTTGTTTATAGTTTCGGTTACGGTTCCAGATTTAAAGATATATTTACAAGTCACGTAATAAATATTTAAATTGCACTACCGGCAATAAACCGGTACATAAACTATTAAAAATTAATTTAAACTTTGAAAATCTATTTCTTTGAGATTAATAGAATTATTATTAAATTAATATTATATTAATAATTCATTATTTGAGAATATAACAGTGTCATATTTTCTGATGAAATTTAAGTTTGATGTGGGTCATTTAATATTTTTATAAAATTTCGTATAAGTTTACTATTATATAAAAGATGACTTTAAGAAAAATATTTTTAAAATCTTTCAAAATGAACTTTTTGCGTTAAACTTTAATTTAAAACAGTAAAATACGAAAAACTGATGATTCTATCAAACGATTTTTATGTGATGATTAGGTATCTCTTTTTTGGTATAAAATGCATCATATTTCGATATTCAAAATGCGAAAAATATCAAAAGTCAATTCTTTTCCTGTTTACTTTTTTTGCTAGTCTTTTTAACACATAAAATAAAATTTTATCCTCATTTAAAAAAAATTATCAAATTATAACAATTGATATTATTTACCTACAATTAATTATTATTTAATTACAAAACTTTTGAAAATTCAAAATTTTGTAATATTGAATTGAAAACAATTGATTTTTTTAAAGTAATTAAACACTCGAAGAATTTCCTCAAAATTTTTAAAAATAATTATAATTTAAAGAAAAATTTTAGTTAAATATTCTAGAAAAGAAATGAATTTTTACGAAGTTAAAACAATATATAATTCTAACAAGAAATTCAAAATATCGAAAAATTATTTAGAAATAATGGAATTTTACAAAAACTTAGAATGAATGTTATTATTGGAATAATGAAAAAAATCTGGAAAGTAGAAAATCAAAAACTAAAAATTCTTGACTTGTTTGCATTTAAGGGGAGACCCCACCTTAATTTTGACCCCTTTAAAATAAAATTATTAACGGATGGTCAAAAATATTTAATTTTAATTTTTGAAGAGGTTAGAATTTTTTTCTTCTGACCTATTGCATATTATTGCAAATCCATGCAAGAAGTTGTTTAGAATGGTAAAATATGCATGGAAAAAAAATTTCGTTAAAAAATATTAAAAACTGTAAGAGAAGATCGATTTTTAATATTCAAATCTTTAAATTTTGCCGAAATTTCGGAAGTCCTGAACCTTTATTTTTTTTTAATTTGATGCTCTGAGTCGAAAAAACATCGTTAAAATTGACAATTAGCTCATTTTCATGGTAAAAACTATAAGAATCATGGCTTTTTGCATTTATTTCGGTATATATAAAGTATACCATAAAAGCTTTGGACTATGATTTTTATGGAATTTACCACGAAAATGAGCTAAATATAAATTTTAACAATGTTTTTTTAATAATAGCATCAAATTACGTAAATATACACAATTTGGAAAAAAATTAAAGATTTACGGCTTTCGAAATTTCGGCAAAATTTAAAGATTTGAATATTAAAAATCGATCTTCTCTTATAGTTTTTAATATTTTTAACGAAAATTTTTTTCCATGCATATTTTACCATTCTAAACAACTTCTCGCATGGATTTGCAATAATATGCAATAGGTCAGAAGAAAAAAATTCTAACTTCTTCAAAAATGAAAATGAAATATTTTTGACCATCTTATATGTTTTCAGGTTAAAAATAATGCAAGAAAAAAAATATTACCTCGTTTAATAATTTTATTTTAAAGGGGTCAAAATTAAGGTGGGGTCTCCCCTTAAAAGTCGATCCAAGGCTTGCAATATACTTCGCAGAAATTCAATTTCGCTCAAAAAATTAAAAAAATTCTCGTCAAAATTTCAATTATCTTTAGAAATAATAAAATTCTTCTCTGAAATCCAATTATTTTCAAAAAAATTTTAATACAATTCCTGGAAAAATTTCAATTATTTAAAAAATTTTCCTCAATTAAATGATTTTTAATATTTATTCTTTTAATAAAATTTACCAACAATTCAATTATTTAAAAAAAATTTAATAAAATTTTAAGCAAACATTTAAATATTTTTATAAAATAATAAAAATTTCAGAGGAATTCAATTATTTACAAATTTTTTATAAATTTCTTCGCAATCATTCAATTATTTTCATAAAAAATAAAATTTCTACAGTGATTCAATTATTTTCGTAAATAATATAATTCTTTTTAGAAACTCAATTATTTTCATAAATAATAAAACTCATTGCAAAATTTAAATTAATTTTATTACAATTTTAATCAAAATTTTCGAAAAATGTAATTATTCTTAAAAATTTTATTAAAATTCGTCAAATGAATTCAATTTTTAGAAACATGCAATTATTCAATAAATCGACGGTTTAGAGTGCAAACCTGCTAACTCACATTTATGAAATTTTTCAGGAGAGTCAAAAAATTATTCAAAAGAATTTTTAGTTTATATTCTTATAGAACAAAACTTTCAGTATATTTGT